AGGAGTAAGAAAGGAGTAAAAGGAGTAAGAAATAATACTGATATTACGGTGGGGGTCCGCTATAGACTACCAAGCCAGGCAGAGGATTTGAATGATACACTCCTAGAAAAGATTACAAAGTTCTCAAAGAGACGGGACATGGTGGTCATAGGAGATTTCAGTTACCCGGGTATCTGTTGGAAGTCCTGCTAAAAATGAAAGGTCCAATAAATTCCTGACTTGTCTTGTGGACAACTTCATTTTCCAGATAGTGGAGAGGGAAACAAGGGAATCTGCTATCTTGGACTTGATTCTTACCAACAGGGAAGAACTGGCTGACAAGATGAAAGTAGTGGGCACCCTGGGTAATACTGACCATGTATTTTTGGAATTTACAGTCTTGGGGAAGCTGGCCATATCCCCTTGTCACACCTCCTGTTAGTTTGTCCCTGAAAACATACCTATTGGGTAGAGGGGAAAAGGGGAGGGGAGCTAGGGAGTGGTCAATATTGAGAACTAGTAACTTAGACCGGGGACTGGCACCTGGATGAAGAGGAAATGAGTAATCGGGCTAGGACCATTGTCTCTTGATGGTCCTAGCCGGGTCATTGATGGGCAAGCGACTAGTTGCCAAGCAACCATGTGTAGAGCCTCTTGGTTACGTGCAGTTTTGCAGGTAGATGGAGGAGGGGGGAAGAGGGTTGCCTGCGTGTGTCAGAGGGAGCTCCTTATGGCGTTTGGAGCTCTTTGTCTTTGTGCCTTGGCATGGCATGGCATTATGCAGGCTAGGGAACTGGTCCATCTCACAACAGGTAAGTGGGCAGGTAACCTTGAAGAACCACTGGAACAGCAACGCAAAAGGAAGGTTTTCTTCTCCCAGGTGTGCAGTCTCAACTGGCATCATATTGGGTCACCATGCAGTACAGTCCCTTAAGCATACCTTTGCACAGTCCATTTTTATCATTTATGAGTTAAACATAATATACATTAATTGTGCATGTTTATGGGGGGAGAGAAGAAAAAGGGAAAAGAATTCCTTCTCTTTGTATTTATGCTGAATGTTGAGCTCTCTACCAATGCCTTAATTTATTTGCTTTTTACTTTTTCTTTTTTTCTTTTTTGTTGTTGTTATGCGTACATTGTAGGTTGTTCTTCTATATGGGGAGTGGGGTGTGTACTTGATGTTTATGTTTGTTTTTTATATTTAAATAAACATTTATTTCAGGGGGGGAAAGTCACCTTTTTTTAAGGCAAATGAGGATCTGGGTGATCACCTGTAAGCCAAATCCTGTTTTCATAAACTAACCATGGTTTTGGATCTGAACTGAGCCCATGAAAAGTTCACTCCCAAAGTTAGAGATGCCCCACCCATTAAAGGTTCTATATGCTTCTGTCATACCTGAACATCACAGGAGCCGCTTTCCTGTGTCTTTTTACCATCAGGGCCCTCCATTTCCATAATCTCGGAGGACACCCTCTGTAGGCTCTGCCCAAAAGGGGACCCTCACCTTAGTCCAGCCGTTTTCACCCTATGGGACTTCCAACAGAATGAAGTGGCCGTGAAAGGGTTGGGGAGGTTTCGGGTACAGTATCAGAATTTTGAAGGACCCTTGGACTTGCTGGTAGTAGGGGGCCATCGCATGAGATTACTAGGATTAGCATGGTTCAAGCCCTTGGGGTTCTAGGTCACAGGGGTACACCACATTGAGAAGACTTTTAGTGGGTGTGCGACAAGTTCCCGGCTGTATTTGATGGGACGCTCAGTCGCTACACCAGACCCCCCATTTCCCTCCAGCTCAACCCAGAGGTGTGGCCCATAAGGCTGAAAGCCAGACATGTCCCATTCGTGTTGAAGTCAAAAACTGACCAGGAGCTGGATCGTTTGGTGGACCAAGGGGTTTTGGAACCAGTTTCGCATGCCCTCTGGGAAACCCAAATTGTTATGCCCATTAAGCCCAACGGGGACATCCACATCTGCGGAGCTTATAAATGTACCATTAATAAGGCACTGCAGGACCATGCCTACCCAGTCCCAGTAGTCAGCCACGTCTTGGCCTCCTTGGCAGGCGTTAAGATTTTTGGGAAGTTGGACTTGGCCCAGGCCTACCAGGCCTACCAACAACTCCCAGTGGATGATGCCACAGCAGAGGCCCAGACCATAGTCACGCACAGGGGCGTGTTCAGGGTGCAGGACTACAATTTGGTGTCAGCGTGGCTCTGGGGATTTTCCAAAATCTCATGAACTTCCTCATTAAAGGAATCCCCGGGGTCCAGCACTTCTTTGATGATGTTCTGATCGCCGCCCCCACAGAAGAGGAATTCATCAGCCAGTTGCGCGCCGTCCTGCAGCGGTTCCAGTCGGCCGGCCTGAAGGTGAAGTGGGAGAAATGCCTTCTGAGTGTTCCATGGGTTGAGTTCCTGGGGTTCTCCATAGATGCTGACGGCATCCATCCGGCTCCAGACAATGTTTGTGCCATTGTCAACACCCTCACGCCCACTTCTAAGCAGGAACTCCAGGCTTTCTTGGGGCTACTGAACTTTTATCATTTCTTCTTGCTCCATTAAGCTGTGCTGGTGGAGCTGCTTCACTGCCTCCTCAACAAGAAGGCCCCATGAGTCTGGGGCCGACAGAAAGCCGCTGAGTTCTGGGCCGTGAAGGTCCTGGCCCATTTTGATGAAAAGCTGCCCGTAGTGCTTGCTTGCAATGCTTCTCCATATGGGGTTGGCACTGTGCTTGGCCACCAGCTGCCAGGCAGCAGGGAAGTCCCTGTGGCATATTACTCCTGCACCCTGACTTCGGCCGAGCGCAACTATGCGCGAATCAATGAGGTGCTGGCCATCGTTGTGGGGGTCAAGAAATTCCATGACTACCTCTAGGGGCAGCCATTTGCCATCGTGACAGACCACAAGCCTCTGCTGGGCCTTCTTGCCCCAGATCGCCAACCCCCCAGATGCTCTCGCCTCAGGTATTTCGTTGGTCCATTTTTCTGGTAGGGTACCAGTATTTCCTCCACCACCGTCCTGGGAAGGTGATGGGACATGCTAATGCCCTCAGCTGCTTGCCGCTCCACTCCATTGATCTGGAACCGGCTCCTGCGCACCAGATCCTGCTTGTGGAGGAGCTCCCCAACCGCCCTCTTCACGCCAAGGACATTTCCTGCCTCACTGTGAAGGATCGGGTCCTCTCCTGCGTTCTGGACTGGGTGGGGAGGGGCTGGCCCACCAGCTGGGTGGGCCTGGAATTTACAGCCTTCTCATCCTACCAGGACAAGCTTTCAGCTCACAAAGGGTGCTTACTGTGGGGCAGTCGGGTATTGATTCCTGCTTCCCTGCACCAGCGAGTTGTGTTGGACCTGCATGAGATGCACCCTGGAATTGTGCGGATGAAAGCACTCGCCCAGAGCTATGTGTGGTGGCCGGGAATGGACAGCGAAATAGAGGCCTGGGTCCAACATTGCCAGGCCTGCCAAGAGACCTGGCCAGAACTGCCCTGTGCTCCCATGCAACATTGAAGTCCACCCGCAGCCCGGGGTCATCAGAGTCACCGGATCCCTCTCATATGAGGTCTCCACCAACGGGAGACAGGTCCTACACAGGCACATCAACCAGCTTCGCCATCATCTCCTGCTGGAGGTAGCCGACTGAACACCGGCTGCCACGGAGGCCAGCCACCAAGGATTACTACCACCATTGCCAGAGCCCAGTAGGGAGGGGGATGCACCAAGTGCAGTGGACTTGCAGACTGTTCCAGAGCCCCGGGACTCTGCTCCTGACCTACCGTCCTTCCCCAGTACCGCTGCTGAGACCCCAAACAGGGTCCCTGTGACCGCACCCACCCCTAAAGCATTTAAAAAGTAATTTGGACTTTGACAGGAGGAGAGGAAAATGCAAAATAGTTTAATTTTGATCGCCTGATGTTTATTAAGGCATAACTTTAAACCAATGATATTTACACGATAGCCAAAGAGATTGTGATTGTTTGCTTGACACTTTCATATTATTAACTCTCATATTTTGCTTTAAAGACAATAGGGATGTATCAACAATCTTATATCATTGTAACATGGATCCTTGTTACTCTTTATTTTAGGTTGTCCCCTTCCCCAGACCCTGTAGGATTGTAGTTAGAAAATTTAAAAAAAATAAAAAATAGAACAATAGCCCACCAGGACTCTGGAGGTGACCAATGAGAAACTAATGTTATGTAAATAGCCTATCGTTGGGAGTGGGGTGTGTTTGGGTGTGGTTTTTGTATGCTATTTAAACAGGGTTCTTGCCCTGGTGCAGTAGTCTTAGTCTTGTATCTGCTGGATCACTTAATAAAGTAGAGCTGTTCACTGCAATACGTCCTGAACCCAGTATTTAACAAGTCACAAGGAATCTGGCCATTCTTTTATCTATTTTAACTTTCCCATTGCTTTTGCTTACTTTGGAAGATGTAGGCCTGACTCCTGAGAGTTCACCTCATTTTTCAATTTAAAGTAAAAAGCAGGAATCAACCTCTTTTGATAGCATAACCTTTCTTGAAGATGGTTGTGTATCGTATTCAGGGAAACAGTACTGTACTACTTCACTCACCAATCTTTTAACCACACACATATTTTATTTTGGCTTGAAACCATAAAGGAAGTTCATACAATTTGGTGAAATGTTGTATCTGTACAGGCAAGTAGGTAAATGGGTACCTGCTCCTTACGAGCGGGGGGGGGGCACCTTTCCTCCGTGATTGGTGTTAGAAAAAGCAGCGACGGAGCGAGCAACGGAAGACCGGTGCCTGGAAGCATGACGTGCGGCAAGGACTGGAGCCGATTGGACAAGGAGTCCAGCTGCCTCGTTCGTGTTCTGTGGGGGCCATCTGTTGGAAAGAAGCCGCTATTGCAGACGAAACTACCATCAAAAGTCTACCGTCGAATTCAAAGGAAAAGATCCTGCTGTTAGGTGCCTAGTTAAGAAAAAATACCCTCCCCTCACCATTGTACCCTAGATTAGATAAATTGTGTATGTGTCTGTAAACCGCTCTGAGCCATATGGATAGGGCGGTATATAAATCGCAAATGTAATGTAATGTAATCTTCTTTTATTTTGGGTCTGTCAGAGAAAAGTGCACTGGTCATAATCAGAGACAGTTGCAGTCATCAGTAAAATCACTTCATTATAGCAATATGTTTATTTATAGAGGAATGTCACAAATTCTTCCAAACGACAACAAAGAAGTGATTTGACTTTTTATCAGTGGAGGCTGTACATTATCTACTCTTGCTGAAAAGGGAACAGCAGCCCTTTCTAGCCACAGTGTCATATGAAGGTCTCCAGCCACTGCCCATTACCTCCTGGGAGTTAACTGTTGTCTTTTCATATTCTCGTCACTAAATTTTCTTTTAGGAATATGAATACAAAATTGTACAAGTGATTCTTAAAGGTATAAAAATGGCAGAGTTTTTTTTTAAAAATCACAGTTCATCTTTCTTCTTCAGGATGATATTCCCGACAAGCTCAGTAACAGAAGGTTTTATTTCTTCAATAGTGACGGTAGAATCCCAAGCCTTTACCACATTTCCACTGGGATCTACCAAGTACTTCCAAAAGTTCCAGGTTGGCTCCTCACCAGTGGATTCTACACATAAAAAGAAGGGGGGAGATTAGATACAGAGGGCAAAGTTGCATATAATGTTATAATTCTATGACTATTCAGAAGAAGAGGAGGAGGAGGAGGAGGAAGATTTTATGCCCTGCCCTTCACTACCTGAAGAAGTCTCAGAGCAGCTTACAATCTCCTTTCCCTTCCCCTCCCCACAACAGACATCCTGTGGGGTAGGTGGGGCTGAGAGAGCTCTTTTGAGAACTGCTCTTGAGAGAACAGTTCTGAAAGAACTGGTTAAAGACCCAAGGTCATACCAGCAGCTGCATGTGGAGGAGTGGGGAATTAAACCTGGTTCTCCCAGATTAGAGTCCGCGCTCCTAACCACTACACCAAACCGGCTCTCAAAGAAAGAAGGTATATGAGATTAAGACCAGTCCAGATTATGACATACAGAGCTCTGATATAATATAAAATAATACTTTATTAATCTCACAGAAAGAACCCTGGAAATAAAAAAATCTAATCCATCTTTCATTACAATGTGTTCTGCATACAGATTGAGGAGATAAAATACATTCTTGTCTAACTCATTTGCCAACTGGAAACCATTCTGTTTCTACCTATTCTGTCATAACAGTAGCCGCTTGTCCAGAGTACAGGTTGTAAATCAAAACAATCAGATGTTGTGGCATACCCATTTCTTTTAAAACTAGCCATAATTTTTTATGATCTACTCTACATAGTCAAAAGCTTTGCTGTAATCTACGAAACACAAACTGATTTTCTTCTGAAATTCTCTGATACACTCCAGTAACCAACATATTGCAATATGATCTCTTGTGCCTCTTCCTTTTCTGAATCTATCTTGAACATCTGGTACAATCATGAATTGTTTATATTGAAAACTAGAATGAAACTGAAGAAATACACGAAAACAGTCATAGTGCCAAAATACAATCTAAAAAACATTCCTGAAGAGTTTAAAGCGCATGGGCGCTTTCACACATGCTAAATAATGCAGTTTCAATCCACTTCAGTGACTGTTTGCAAGTGGATTTTGCCATTTCACACAGTAAAATCCAGGTGCAAAGTAAAAGAAAATGGATTATATAGGGTGTGTGAAAGTGCCATGTAAAGAACAGATTTGCATTACTAAATTCAAGTGAACATGAATCAGAAGAACTATGGGACGAAACCAGAGATACTATAAAAACAAATGCACAAAAACTATTTCTGTAGCCAAAGAAAAGCCTTGATGGATGACTGATGATACTCTTTAAATGGCTAAAGATAGATGAGAAGCAAAAGTAAAAGGTGACAGAATCAAAAGCCTAAATGTAATGTTCCAGCAATTCACACATAGAGACAAAGAGAACTATTATAATAACCAGTGTAAAGACATAGAAAAAAACAACAAAATGGAAAAACGGGATCTGTTCCACAAGATCCAAGAAATCAAAGGGAAATTTAAAGCATAGTTAGGCATGCTGAAAGATCAACATGGAAATATTGACTGAAAAGGACAAAATAAAGAAAATATGGGAACAATTCAATACAATGAAGAACTATACAGAAGTAGGGTTACCAGACCCCCCAGTGGAGGCAGGGGTTCCTCGCCACCAGGCCCACCACCCTGCTGCTGATCAGCTGGCCAGCAGGGGGTGGGTGGGAAGGATTACCTGGAAAAAGAACAAGGCTCAGTCAACATTGCAGCAACGTGACCTGGAAGTGTAGTTATCATGTTGGCGCCATTGGGGTGACACTTGGGTATTTGGGCAAAAACTCTACAGTAGAAGCCAAATTTACCATACAGTTTTTGCCCAAATACCAGAGTGTTGCCCCAATGCCACTGCATGATGACCTCACTTCTGCATCACGTCAGAAGTGATGTAGCCACCTTGGGGCAATGTCAGCTGGGCCTCCCTCCCACTCCTGGTAAGTCCCCCCATCCCCTGCTGGAGGGACCTGGCAACTCTATACAGAAGAGATGAAGGGACAAAAGATTCCTTCAAGAAGAATCTTTTGAAGAAGAACCTGCAGTTTTGGAAAGTTAAGTGAAAGCTGCACTGAGAGCAACTGAGAGAAACAAATCACCAGGAGTAGATGGGATATCAATAGAGCTATTCCAAGCCACATAAATGGAGTCCATAAAAATCTTAAGATTGTGCCAACAAATATGGACAATAAAACAGTAGCTCACAGACTGGAAATGCTGAATATACATTCCAGTTCTGAAAAAAGGAGACATCAAAAACTGCAGCAACTATCGGACCATCACATTAATTTATCCTGCAAGTAAAGAATGTAGATTGAGTGTTTCCAGTGTGGGGGCCATTGTTTAGTTTTCCATATTTGTTGCCATATTCTTGTTAAGATTTTGATGTACTGGTTACTGTATCTCAAAAAGGACATTGAAGAGCTGGAAAAGGTACAGAAGAGGGCAACTTAATATGATTAAGGGTCTGGAGCACCTTTTCTATGAGGCAAGATGAAGGGTCTGGGACTTTTCAGTTTAGAAAAAAGACTACGGGGGGGAGAGATTAAGATAAGAGTTTATAAAATTATGCACAAGGGTAGAGGGAGTGGTCAGAGAGAACTTTTTCTCCCACTCCTAAAATACTAGACTCTGGGGGTATCCACTGAACTTGATGGGCAGTAGACACAGGGCAGATAAAAGGAAATAGTTATTCAACAAATGATTAAAATGTGGAATTCATATCCAGAGGGTGTAGTGATGGCCACAGGAATAGGTGGCTTTAAAAGGGGATTAGACAGTTTCATGGAAGATAGGTCTATCATTGGCTCCTACTACCCATGGTGACTAAAGGAAACCTCCACATTAAGAGGCAGTAAACCTCTGAATATCAGCACGAGGAAGCAACATTAGTGGCTTCTATGTCCTGTTGTTGGCCCTCCAGAATAACTAGCTGGCCACTGTGTGTGATGGATTATGAACTAGATGGACTACTAGTCTGAAAAGCAGGGAGGATTGAGGCACTCCCAAGGGATCTGTCGAGGATGGGCGAGTGGGCATCAACATGACAAATGGGGTTCAGTGTGGCCAAGTGCAAAGTGATGCACACTAGAGCCAAAAATCCTAACTATAAATACACTTTGATGGGGTCTGAACTGGCAGAGACTGGCCAAGAGAGAAATCTTGGAGTCGTAGTAGATAACTCATTGAAAATGTTGAGACAGTGTGTGACTGCAATAAAAAAGGCCAATGCTTTGCTAGAGATTATTAGGAAGGGAATTGAAAACAAATCAGCCAGTATCATAATGCCCCTGTATAAATCGATGGTGCAACCTCATCTGGAGTACTGTGTACAGTTCTGGTCACCACACCTCAAAAAGGATATTATAGCATTGGGGAAAGTGCAGAAAAGGGCAACTGGAATGATAAAAGGGTTGGAACACTTTCCCTATGAAGAAAGGTTAAAGCGCTTGGGGCTCTTTAGCTTGGAAACGATGGCTATACAGTGACATGATTGAGGTTTATAAGATTATGCATGAGATAGAGCAGGTAGAGAAAGAAGTATTTTTCTCCCTTTCTCACAATACAAGAACTTGTGGGCACTCAATGAAATTGCTGAGCAGTCGGGTTAGAACAGATAAAAGGAAGTACTTCTTCACCCCAAGAGTGATTAACACATGGAATTCACTGCCACAGGAGGTGGTGGCAGCTACAAGCATGGATGGCTTCACGAGGGAATTAGATAAACAAATGGAGCAGAGATCCATCAGTGGCTATTAGCCACAAGGTATAGATAGGATTGAAGGTCAAAGAAGACGGGGATGGCAAAGGATGAGATGGTTAGACAGTGTCATAGATGCAATGAACATGAAGTTGAGCAAACTTCAGAGGATGGCGGAAGACCGGAAGGCCTGGCGTGATCTGGTCCATGGGGTCGCGAAGAGTCGGACTCGACTGTGCGACTGAACAACAAACAACAACATAGATAGGAACTCTGGGGCAAGTGATGGTCTGTATTCTTGGTGCTTGGGGGGGGCAACAGTGGGAGAGCTTCTAGTGTCCTGGCCCCACTGATGGACCTCCTGGTGGCACCTGGTATTTTTGGCCACTTGTGACAGAGTGTTGGACTGGATGGGCCATTGGCCTGATCCAACATTGGCTTCTCTTATGTTCTTATGATCCAGCAGGGCTTATGTTCTTAACAGGCTTCAGCTTTCTGAAGGATTTCTTAATGTTAAAAGAAGTGGGGATGTGGATTCTGAGCTGCACTGTAGGGAGAGGGCTTCACACATTTATTTGCTCCATTATCCTTAAAGAAACTCTCCCTTCTTTATTAGTCCCAGTAGATAAAAAGGACCCATACTGAAGATTTGTAGATTCAGGCTTACTTAATTTAAGCACTACTCTGGCACTGCTAACAGGTTTAAGATGAATGGATTCATAACATATGTCTCTGAATTTGGGAAACTAAAAGCTGTGAATATTTCATTAAAAGATACAACTAAATATAGCATGTGCTATCACCAGGGCGGCATAGAGGGAGGGGAAGGGTCTTGCCCAAAAAAGCGCTTTTATTCTGTTGCATGGATTTTGGTGGGTCTCCCAGCAACCCTATAAAATGATCCTACTGCAGAACAGAATAAAAACCTGAGCCAACCAGCATACCTGATTTCCATAATGCTGGCTCAACAGCAGGAGGTTTTTGGCAAGAAGGAAGAGGGTGCAAATGAAGACAAAGAGGAGAACAGCAATAAAGGAAGATGGACTTGACTCTCTTCAAGGCACAAAGATGGGTTGGGGGGGGGTGGCAGAACACTGTGGCATGCCAGTTTTATTCCCAAGAGCCAAAGCCTACTTTTGATATGTCTGGGGAGTCAACAGATTTAAGTATGGACAACCCTTTCCCTATCACTGAGCAGAAACTACTCCCAGAGAATTCCTAGGTTTCACTCTTGCAGATGAATGGCAGTGATCAATCACAATCTAGTTTCAAAGGCTTCTCCCAGAGTGAAACTGCATGTTACATATAGTTCTGTGACCATTTTAAATGAATGCATTTCTTTTATAGATTGCAGCTGCTGGAGCTTTGATTTCTAGCGGGGGGGCTGGTCGCAGCAGTGGCAGGGGTCTCTTTCCCCATGTTATTTCCTTGCCTGAGAAAGAGCTATCTGTGAGTTGCTTTTACCGGGTACCAGGAAAAATACAGGTACCCCTACCTTGCAACTCTCAGTTTGCTTCAACTATTGCTCATGTTCAGAAATAAACAAGAACATCTGGAAGTGGAACTTACAGAGAACCTATCTTCTGTTTAACTTCTGGTATTTTGTTTTGAAGGGCAAGGCAACTAAACATCCACTTAACTCCCATTGTCCCCATTGAGTTTCACAGCGATAGAAAAGAGTCATAGCAGACGTCCCTAAAAGTGGTTTCTTTTTCATAATTGAACCTTGACTGGGTCAAAGATTTGGATCTTAGACCTTGCTGAATGCTGCCAGTATCCCCCACAAACACCCTATAATGGGAACCATAATCATATTTACAGCTCTCACTATAGAACAGTTCCAAGCCACAAATCAGCTGCTTTACTGTTTCTGCTGTACTCACCAACTAGATATTTGAAGGCTGGATTCGCACCAGTGCCCTTCACTGCAATTTTGCTGAACATGGGGAAAGAGACTCCATATGTTTTTCGAGCAAAACTCTCAATTTCTTTGTTGCTATCTGGTTCCTGCTGCCCAAACTGATTACATGGGAATGCGAGGACATTAAAATGATATGAGCCCAGTTCTCGCTGTAGCTGCTGTAGGGCTTTGTAATGGCTGTCAGTATAGCCGCACTCACTTGCAACATTAACAACTAAGGACACCTAAAAGAAAGATAAAAATTTGAAATACAGTTTATTGCTATTTCTTTCATTAGCAGATTGTCTTGCTTTTACTGATAACGTACCGTAAAATAATATGCTTACATGTGTGATAATCAACTTTATTGAACGAAAGCTATTTCTTCACTTTTTAAAGAATACTGTCCTTAACTTGATCAACAGACTGTTCAGGAGTAGGCCCACCCCCAACATCAGAGCCACCTCCAGACTCGCCCTGGAGTCACAGGCTGGTCATTCAGAAACCCACCTACCCACCACACAGAAACCTGGCGTGACAGAGACAACTCAGTTCTGGTGGCCCCCACTGCTGCTGCCAACTAGGGTTGCCAACCTCCAGGTGGGGCCTCGAATTCTTTTGGAATTGCTTTCCAGACCACAAAGATCAGTTCCCCTGGAGAAAATGACAGGTCAGGAGGGCAGACTTTAGGGCATCACATCCCTGCCCTCCCCAAACTCCGCCCTCCCCAGGCTCTGCACCTAGATCTCCAGGAATTTCCCAACCCAGAGTTAGCAACCCTACCTCCAACAGCTGTCAATTGTTTAATCCAGGGGAAGCCTGAGATTCAAACGCCCCCGCCCAAAAAAAAATCTTGCAAGGCTTTGGGAGAAATTACTGGCCATATGCAACTTGTTGCACTGCTTGCGGGTTAAGGTGGGACATAAATTGAATAAAACAAAACAAAACAAGGGGCTTAGAAACTATTTATTCATCACGTTAGGCTTTTATGCTGCCCTCCCCACATGTGGGCTCAGGGTGGTGCACAACAAATTAATAAAATACATATAAAATGCATTAAATAATAAAAAAATATAGTTCCATAAAACCCAACATCACATGGCGCTATAATACAATTCTGGCCCCCCAGTTTACATTAGCAATGGAGGGAGAAGGGAAAGCAGTTAGTGAACCAGCTGGTGGTTAAAAACCGATTAAAACCATTATAAACCATTGCTGTCCTCAACCATATGCCTGGCGGAATATCTCTGCCTTGCAGGCCCCATGGAATTGTAACAGATCCTGCGGGGCCCTGATGTTGTTAGGCAGAGAGTTCCACCAAGTTGGAGTCAGGGCCGAGAAGGTCCTGGCTCTGGTTGAGGACAGCTGGACGCTCTTTGGGCCAGGGACTTTCAGTATGTGTTAGTAACTTGAGCGTAATGCTCTCCAGGGGACATATCAGGAGAGGCAGTTCCGTAGGTATGTTGGTCCCTAACTGTTTAGGGCCTCAGAGGTAAAGACCAAATCCTAGTCTGCAAGGAGGTGGCTAGGCTCTCTCTCTATAGATTGTGCAGGAAAGACCCAACAGAGAGGTAGACGAACCAGGGGCTGCAACACACTCCCCTACCCTCCCCAGCTCTGCAAGCACCAAACATGGTACACATGGTAGACATGACTGACAAGGGAGCTTCTGAGAGCAGGGATATGGCCGCCGCCACTGAACCCGTTATGTCTTATCTGTATAACATCTCATGTAAAGCTTAAGGTGAGGACAAGGATTGTAAGCTGGAACAATCCTATTGGCTATTGTATGAATGTAACCAATCAGAAGGCAGAGATGTGTTCAGGAGGGAACGAATCTGATTGGGTGTTATCTTTGTAATGCCATTGGTCTTTAACTGTTCTGGGGCGTGGCTACATCAGTCGGGATAGTTTAAAAGGGAGCTTTTGCTCCACTGTTGTGTGTGTGTTCTATGACTGTTCCTGTTTACTTCAATAAAGCTGATTCACTGTTTGATTACGAGACGGCGTCGAGTTCCATACTTAACCCCACACAGGCTAAGACCCTTCAGATGGCTGGCTGCTTCATTTGGCTCTCATCCCTTATTTACTTTTTTCTCTCTAAGTACCTGGAGCCTTTTCTTCCATATAAGGGAAGTTGTTTCCAAGTTGTCAACAGGCCTGGAGTAAAATGTCTTGTCCCTTTAATAGAGACTTAATGGGTGGACATGAGCAGCTGAATTTTGTCACTGCGTGGAGTTTAAAAATGCCATTTGGTAAATGGCATCCCATTAAATTTCTGTTAAAGAGACAGGGCATTTCTTCTCTGGGCAGTTGGCAGCCCCATTTCCAACCAGTTTAAGGAGGTTAAGCAAAGGACAGTTTAACAAGTAATGTGCCGTAATTCAAGGCATCCCCTAGAGTTATCCTTGTGCATATTCTTGCCATTGTCAGAAGTTAATTAAACTTAGAAGCTTCTCGAGCCTAATGACAATAATAAATCCTTGCAGTATCTAAATCTGTCAAAACCTGTATAGCTTCTGCCTAAATGTTCTCATAATGGTACTATGAATGCTTAGTACCTCTGGAGAGTGTGACTGGCCCAGACACTCATGTTTGGCCTAAAACCAGTCATCATTTTGCAACACCACATAGACTTGAGCTCCCCTGCACTTTTTATTTCCTAGGAGCAAAAGAAGGGTATTTCATTTAGAGTTTCTGAACACGTTGCGGGCTATATGGGAATGAATGGCAAGGGGTTTTGTTGAAGCATATTGAGATGGGTTGTGTTTTGTACAGGATACTCTTTCTCCCTCTAGATCACGGGTAGCCAAACTGTGGCTCGGGAGCCACATGTGGGTCTTTCACACATATCATATGGTTTCCGGCAGGGCGGTTGGGGAAGCGAAAGGGAGGCATGCCTCCCTGATCGGTCTTCCCTTCCCCAGCCAGTGTTCCCTTTTGTTTTTGTTTTTGGCAGTCTCATTTAATGTTATTAAAAAGCAAATTTGCATCTTGTCCAATAAAAACACATGAGTTATATTTGCTTGTGGCTCTCAAACATCTGATGTTTATTCTATGTGGTTCTTATGTTAAGCAAGTTTGGCCACCCCACTCTAGATTATTTATTCCAATCTAGTTCAAATTAGCATAATATCTGTTATAGTGAACAAAGCATGTATTCAGTTCAGAGCTGGAAATCCAAGTCCTTCTCCCTCTGATTGACTATGCCATTTGTTTAGATTATTTTGTGTTAAAAGTTCAGGTTGTGATAGCAGATTTGAAAAGTTCAGGTTGTGATGAAGTGGGCCTTTTCTAGTTTCTAGCACCATCAGGTAAGAGTCCAAACAATTGTCCAGCAACATACCTGTCACATCAAATTGAGAAATATGTGAACCAAGCTTGCCATCTAGTGTCCACTGCAGGAACTTCACACTTTCTTCTTCCAAAAAAGTTGCTACTAGTCCAGGATCTACAATAGACCCCAGTGAAAAAATATATGTACAGAATTTTTTATTGCTCGTGTGTGTTTCAGGACACTATTGCTTTAAAAAATTCTTGAGCAGACATTCCAATTTGGGTTTTTTTTTTCAGTAGCCACCATGTCCCAAGATGGAAGATATGGTTATTTCGATATTTAAAATTCACCTAGGATGCTCATCTTGGTGAAAAAAATATATGTTTTTGAGGTTGATAAAGCCAAATGCACTGTTTGTCTCAGAGACAGCCATTTTCCTGTAGCTGTCATTTTGCAAGACAGCAGATCTTTTTCACATTCTTGTAGGATGCTCATATTGGTGTCAAACTGTATGTTTGGGGGGTGTCAATAAAACTAAATATATTATTCCTTTTGTTGTAAAAACAAAATAAAATATTATTTTGTAAGGTCTGTAATATTTGAGGGGATGACAAATCCTAAGAAACTGTTATTTTTTAATATTTGCAGTGTTTGAAATATTGGGACAAAAAGCAGCAGAACTGTTAAAGTGACAACTACTGAAAGTACAGAAAATTATTCTGCGGCTTTAAATAACAGTACTTATTTGTTTATTATTTATTTAAAACATTTATTAGCCACCTTTCTTCTTTACAGAGCTCAAGGCAGCTTACAGCATTAATAAAATACATTACATAAAAAACATAAAACCAAAATTTAAAATCACAGTTTAGGACTGCTTTAATCAAATGGAGTCCTAAATAAAACCATCTTCAGCTGTCCTCTAAGAATCAAGCCTAATATGTCACCCACATGTGGATGATACCCAGCTCTACCCTTCCTTTTCACTTAATGGACTGGATGAGGGTGAACAAGCTGAAACTTAATCCTGACAAGACATAGGTTCTCTGGGGCAGTAGAAAGACAGAACAGGGATCAGTGTTCCCTCTAAGCTGAGTTAGTGTGAGCTAGCTCACAGTTTCTTAGCCTCCGGCTCACACATTTTTGTTTCAGCTCAGGAAGGATGGCTCCAGAGCAAACTAATTGATGCAGTAGCCAGATCGCTTGCTCACAACTTTAATGCCAGCAGCTCACAAAGTAGAATTTTTGCTCACAAGACTTCACACGGTAGAGGGAGCATTGACAGGGACTTCAGGTCTCTCCTGTCTTGGCTGGGGTTACACTTCACTTGAAAAGCCAGCTTCACGGGCGGGGTGCATCAACTGCATCCATTCCTGGCTCAGTGATGTGTCCCATGGTCAGTGCCAAAGGCCTGTTGCCAGTGAGTCACAGGAAGGCCCTGGTGTCTGGTTTTCAAGAGACAGTCCCAGCCTAACATAAGAGGTCCAGGGACTGAGGCACCAAGGTTAGGTACCAATGCGAGGCAAGGTCCAAGTACTGAGGTCCAGTGTGGTCCAAAGTTGAGTCACAAAAGGAGTCCACAGGGCATGGTCAGGTTCCGAACAGAGATCGCTGCATTGGGGTGGGGTTTCCCCCAGTGGCCGGATCCGGGCAAACCACTGCCCCCCTGGGGGACCTGGCAACCTTATCAAACTTCCTTTTGGCTAGATCTGGCTGAGGCACGGAAGAAACTGACGGAGCTGAACATGGAGTCATGATATCACACACACACACCCCTTCAACGATGCCCCGCTGCTAGGGAGTGGGGGAGTGGGTGCAGCTCCAGGTTTCTCTGGATGGTGCAGGAAGCATGGCTGTGCTTCAGGGGCGTACCCCAACCAGTCCGCCATTTGCCCACAGTGCATCTGGAAATCCAGCACGTCTGCCACAGTGAGTCTCTTCTTCACTGTCCATCGACACTGGCAGTGGTGGTGCATATGCAGCTGGTGCTGGGCGCAGCTTTGAAGCAGGGACCAGGAGGAACTGGTGAAATATGGGATGGATCCATAGAGTAAGGGGTAGGTGAAGATGGTAAGCCACCAGATTGATTTGTGCAGTGATAGGAAATGGGCTGGTATGGCAAGGGGCCAGTTTACAGCAGGGACAGCCACAAGGGAGGTACCGGGTGGAAAGCCAGACCTGATCACTCACTTGTAAGGGGACACCTAAATATCTTCTGCTGTCTGTGGCCACCAGGATTCCCGGTTGACTAGATGTATGGTTTTATGGTGCCCAAAATGCCCAGCAGATGGACAGTCATGACACAGGCACAGCACGTCTGCCCAGCATGGACCCGTGCGCACACAGATGCACTACCGATGGCATAGGAGCCCATCCTTTGTTGAGTAAAGGGTGCAACTTGGGGCTTTGTTAGTTTTTAGTTCTCCGTAGCTGGGTCTGCCCAAAAGCATCCTGGGCTTGGGCCTGGTAGATCATGGCTGCAAGTATTGAGGTAACTAGGGGAGCAGCAGAGTGCTTGGGGCATTGGATCATGGCTACTTGGTCCCCTCTGAACTGGTGCTTGGGTATTCCGGTTTCATCTGCCTGCCTGTCTGCTTTGTTGGGATCAAATGGATCCCCAAAATCCTGATATTCTTCTGGAGACACCTCCGGGGTATCTGCCTGAGTCTTTACTGGGGTAGCATTTGGTCAGGTGGACCAACAATGCTTTTGGCAGTACCTGGAGGAAAACACAATCTCTTTCCATGTCCAGGTTATGTGGGGATCATGGAGTTTTGTCCAACCCATCCCCATGACCTGTGGGGAGTGCAGGATGGCTGCCATGTGGAATTGGATGGTCTCTGTGTGCCTTTGCACCTCCAAAAGCATTAATTCCAATTCATGGGTCACTGGATGCTATCCTCTGGGCATCAATGGGTTTCTACCAACAAGGGTGTGGCAAGGGGTCATGTTGGCACACTTGCTGCTTGACAAATGTACTGTCCATAAAATTCCCAAACGCCCCAGAATCCACCATGGCCTTGGTTTGGACTGAGTGGACCTTCGGTAGTGTCACCAAGACTGCCACTAGGAAAGGCCATTGGGCAGGCTCTGACATGGTTTGGAGGCTCCCCAGGCTCCCTTTGTCTGGTCCTAGGGACCTTTGGGGGCCCTGATAAGTTGTCATTGGAATGGAGCTTCCCTTGGCTGGGCAGTCATGTGCAAAGTGGCCAGGAACTCCACAGTAGAGGCATAACCCCTCACTCCAGCAACACAGCTTCTCCTCAGATGTCAAGGGTATCATCTCCCAACTGTATTGACCGCTCCCAATTGCATTGGTTCCTCTGGAGGTAATGCAGGGACAGTGGCAGGTGCCAGCTTGCTCGGGCTCGGGCTCAGAGCAGGAGTCCTACCTGCAATCTGAGACCAATGGGCCAAATGTTGGCCTTCAGGATGCCCATCAATGCATTGACACTATTCGGTTAAGGCTTTCAGGGAGGTGGGGCATTCTATTTGCACCAGCTCATCTAGGATCTCATCTGAGGGGCCCTCCTGGTATTGGTCCATAAGAGCTGCATCATTCCAGTCCAATTATTGTGCCAAGAGATGGAATGTACTGGTGTATTCAGTGACCGAGCCATGGCCTGGATGAAGGCGATGAGTCTGGTGGTTGGCCACCTCTGCTGCCTGAGGATCCCCAAAAGTGCCCCTCAATTCATTTATGAAAACAGTGTAGGTCCCCAGAATCAGACTGGACTGGAGCAAGTAGGGTGTGGCTCATTTCGCTGCTGGTCTAGCAAGCAGGCTAATTACGAAGGCTACCTGAGTCCACTCATCCAGAAAGTTCTCTGGCCTTACTCGCATGATCATAGTGGGCCAAGAAGGCTGGGAGGGTGTTGGCAGCCCCCTCAAACTCATCTGGCACTTAAGCACTTATGCTGAGCAGGCGGAGGCAGCAGCGGAGCCACAGTGACGTGTGTCTGCAACACATTCACTGTGTCAATTAACTGGCGCACCTGCTCTGCCAGTGCTGTCTGCTGCTGGAGCAATGTGGCTGCTGGCTCCATGATGCCTGCAAGTTTAGGACTGGCAACAAGCTGTCGTGTCCTGTGATCAGGGCCAAAGGTCTGATTCTAGTGAGTCACAAGAAGGCCCTCATATCTGGGTTTCAAGAGACAGTCCCAGCCTAATGCAAGACGTCCGGGCGCCGAGGCACCAAGGTTAGGTAGCAAGGCAAGGTCCAAGAGCTGAGGTCGTCTGGTCCAAGGTCAAGGCACAAAAGGAGTCTGGATCCCAGGCGAGTCCACAGGGTGTAGTCAAGTTTAGAACAGAGGTTGCTGCACAAGCAGTCAAGCTACAAGGCAGAGTCCACAGGGTGTGGTCAGGTCCAGAATGAAAGTCACAGAAAGGCAAGAAGCAAGGCGGGTCCCGGGAGTCACATCAAGGAGCTGGTATGAACAGTCAGGCTTGCAAGGACTGGTTGCCACTGCTTGGCATTTATGGAACTGCATCAGCCCCCCTCCCTTCCCCATGTTGCTTGTTCTTGAAAGGAGCCATCAGTTTCTCCAGCTGTGATCACTTATGGCTGGGTTTTCCTCTGCTTCTGTTTTACTCTCTTCTCCTTCTGACAGTCTAACAGCATGGGTGGAGCAATGTCCTCCCCAGAGCCGGGTTGTAATTCAGAGGAAGAGCTTGTGCTTATCAATGGCTTTGGCTGTAAATCGTGGAGGGTGTCTGCAGCTGTCAAGAACCCAGTCTTCAGACTCCCCATTGGCTAGATCTGGCTGAGACACGGAAGAGACTGATGGATGGAGCCGAAGGGTGAGTCATGACACTCAGTCCGATCTAGCCACAGTGATCCAGGCCTTAGTTACATCTTGACTGGACCATTGCAATGCATTCTACCTGGGGCTACCCTTTAACAGTGTTTGGAGGTTGCAGCTAGTGCAGAATGCTGCAGCTAGACTGCTGGTTAAGGCCCGGTACTGAGAGCATGTGAGCCCAATATTACACTGGCTACCAATCCGCTCCTGAGCCTAATTCAAGTGGTTGGATTTGACCTTAAATTCCCTACATGGCTTAGGACCAGAGTATTTGAAGGACCATCTCCTCCCTTATGTTCCAGCCCAGGAATCGAGATCACAGGGAGAGGTCCTCCTGACTGTTCAGAAAGGCAATTCTAAACAGATGGAATTGTTCAGGAAGGCATTTAAATGCCAGTGGATGAGGACTTTGGGGTGTTGTCTGGTATTCCCTCACTGATTCTCATTGACCTTTTCTCCCCTTCATGAATTTTGTTTTAATTGTTCTTATGTATTTATATGTTATTTGTTTGCCTAAGTTGGGTGGAAATGTGGCTTTAAAATGTTTTAGATAAATAAACAAAGGGCTTAGGAAGGAGACACCCAGGATTGCATTGCAAAGCACTCTGCTATCACCCTTTGCCATTATGCATTTTTCCTACAGCACAAGAAGCTAACAGCTATTAAATGCCAAATATCAGACAAGGTAAGCTGTTGGTTTGGCCCCAGAAAGCTTTCTTATTGGAGTACTGAATACATGTCTAGCTATCTAACACTCCATTTTTACTCCATCTTTCCATCTACAAGCTTGGGGTGGTTCCACAGTTCTCACCTTCCTATTTTATCCTTACAACAAACCTGTGAGGTACCAAAGGCTGAGGGAAAATAAGTGATTAACCTGGGATCATCCAATGAGATTCACACTGGAGTGGAGACTGGGACTTCATCTCCCCAGTCTTAGGCCAATACTCTAACCCAGACATGTCAAACATATAGCCCCGGGGCCAAAACCAGCACATCAGGGCTCTTACCTGGCCTGTGACCAACTGGGGGGAAACCAGTTTGAATATAGACACCCTGCTGAGGTCCCTCCCTTCCCTAAATGTGGTCCCTCCTCAGGGTCTTCCCCTAGATCTCCAGGGATTGCCCAACTTGGAGTTGGCAACCATAAGGGGCGAGGAGGGCTATTTTGGCCCCAAGCTCTCTGCAGCCAGTCCCCTTGGGGCCTGCCTGCTGCCCCTGGCCAAGACGCCAGGCTGGGACATGCTGCCTGCCACCGTCATCTCCTCCTGTGGCCATTGGGCTCCTGATTAGGCTGCCTGGGCTGCTGAAAGGATGGCTGGCGGTTCATGTGAGACAGGCAGAATCTCTTTGGCCCCAGCTCCCCAAGCCAAGTTGACCAGCTTCCCACTTGCAGGCAGCCAGTGTAAGCTGCCCGCAGGCACAGGCACCTGTGGAAAGCCGCCGGCCAGCTTGCCAAACATGTCTTGCTTATGTGTGTGAACAGAAAAACTGGCTCAGCCGGGCATGCTGTGTGCAGCAGCCTGGGTGAGACAGAAGAGTCCAGTGCTTATGTAAGGACGCAACACATGCAGAACACTGAGGGATGGGGGCAGAGGAGTCCCACCAAGTCAGGTGAGCCAGATCCTGCTAACATGCTGACCCAAATGTGCATGGCTCCTCTCCTCTCCTCCCTCCCTCAGCAGCGCGGGGAGAATTAAATAAGAGGCAAAGCCTAAATACACACATGCTCCCTGCATGCAAGTATGGCATTATGTAACAGTATGAATGGAAGTGGGGTGAAGCGAAGGTCAGGAGCAGGTATTCAGAAAAGTGTGCTGGGTTTCCACACAGCAGAGGAAGGCACTGGATGTGCCTCTTTGTGCTTGCACGTGGGGGCTAATATTTTGGATGGCTGGATAATGCCATGGAGCTAGCAGGAAATAAGTATGCAGAAGACAATTAAAGTGGAGCTGGCATATTTGAGGAATGGCAGTGCTTGACGACTGCTTGTGGTGCTGTGGAGCAGTTCCCTTTGTGGTTCAACCTTGTTGCTGAATTTGGGACTTTGACAGGGGGAGGTGTGGGATTGTACGGCTGCCTCATCCCCTTCCCCTTCCTAAAGTCTGTTGACCATAGGCAGGATTTTGTTGAATGCCCCTAATTCAGGGG